AACCCCTACACCCCCAAAACCCTAAAGCCTCGGCTGATGTCGGCCCCAAGGGGCGGCAGAGACGAGCACCGCAAGGGCCGCCAGGAACCAGGCGAACCCGGAGTCGGTCTTCTCCAGCAACAGGAGCCCTCCGATGGCCTGGGTTTAGGGTTTAGGGTTTAGGGTTTAGGGTTTAGGGCTTTTAGGGTTTAGGGTTTAGGGTTTAGGGCTTAGGGTTTAGAGGGGTTTAGGGGTTTTAGGGTGAAGGGAATAGGGGTTTGGGGTCTAGGGGTTTATAAAAGGGCTTAGGGTGTAGGGTTTATAAAGGGTTTAGAATTTTTAGTGTTTAGGGTTTAGCGTTTTGAAAAGCGTTTTTGGGGGGTTTCATAGACGGTTAGTTTGGGCTTCTTCGCCAACAACAGAAACCTGAATAGTTTTCATGTGGGACTGATCGCTTTAGAGTTTATCGGTTATAGGGTCTGGGGTTTACGGCGTAGGGCATTTACGGCGTAGTTAGGGTTTAAGGCTTACGCTCCCAACACAGACGCGAAGCGAGTTCTGCAAGATCTGTGGTGGGCTCTTGCTTTATGTTTACACATCTAAGACTTGTTTGCAACATATGCATATTACTACTACGAATGGTTCAAGCCCAATCATTCAGAATTCAAGCCTGAGCGGCGCAAAAGTGGGAATGAAGGATAAAGTAGGGTTCAGGGTTTAGGGTTGCGTCAGCGAGAGTAAGGCGCTTGATAATTTACAGACGAGGATTGCCGGTTCAGCATTAATCTTTTTAGGGAGTGTATAAGCGTCCTTCCCAGAAATCCCTAAACACTAAATCCTAAGCCCAAACAGCCAAACCCTAAACGCTTAACCCTCGACCGCTAAACCTCTAAAACCTGAATCCCTGAACCCTAAACCCCTGAACCCTAAACCCTAAACCCTGAACCCTAAAACCCTAAACCCCTTGAAGGAACCCTCGTGATCCCTTTGAAGGAACCCAAAAAAAAAGGAACCGAGTCGAGGCGCCGTGCACCCGGAAATCGCGTTCGTCACCGACATCAGCGGGGTGTGGAGCGCATGCGCGACACCCCAGACCGCCTGATACCCTGATCGGGGGGGTTTTGGGGGTTTGGGGTTCAGAGTTTAGGGCTTCAGAGTTTAGGGTTTAGGGTTTTAGAGTTTAGGTTTTGGGGGTTGCTTTATAAAGGGCTCCTTGAAGGGATCTACAGGGTTCCTTCAAGGGGCTTCGGGTTTTGGATGTAGGGTTTAGGGTTTAGGGTTTGGGGTTTGGGGCTTTGGGGCTTTGGGGACTTTGGGGTTTCGGGTTTGAGGGATGAATTAGGCTGTAGGGTTTACGAGCACCAAGCCAAACAGACTGAACCCTAGTTTAGGGTTTAGGGTTTAGGGTTTAGGGTTTAGGTAACCCTAGAAACCCGCAATCCCGACAAGCGCTGTCACACAGGGTTTAGGGTTTAGGGTCTAGGGTGACGACCTGTAAGCCCTTCTACTCCGACGAAACCTAAAACAGATGTCGTTCGAAGATCCTGAGGAGGGTTCCTTTAACGTTTTCTAGAGTCTAGGTAATATAGGGGCCTTCACTATTTTGGAATTGGGTTCGGGGTATATTACATAATGGCATCTTAGAATCTTCAAGCCGCTCAAACTCCAAACCCTAAACCCTGAACCCCGCCAGACCACCTGCAGCCCCGGCCAGCAGGAAAGTGGTCAGCAACGAGGTCTTCACGCCTGTGCCCAACGCAGTCTTTGTTCTATGGGAGACTAAATCCCACTAACAAGGGTCGAGCTGCTTGCAAGCAGGATATACATGAAACAATGTGCCCGTTCAGGGTTTATACGCAGGGCTGTAGGTTTGTCAGCACGCTCCGCGCAGCAGTGCCTACGCTTATGGCATTTCCGTGTTGGCCCGGGATCTCCGTTTCATGGGCTCCAGATCCAAGTCCTGCATGGACCAGTTCCGGACAACAAGCCTCAACACTGAATCCTCATCCCTGAAGCCTAAACCCCAGACCCTACAGCCTAAACCCGCAAACCCTCCGAAACCCTAGGCCCTGAACATGAAACCGTACACCCTACGCCCTGAACCCTACACCCGAAAATCTAAACCCAAACCCCCCTAAAACCCTAAACCCCCAGGAACCCTAGAGATCCCTCTAAGGAACCCCACAAACCCCTTTAAGGAACCCTAGGGATCCCTGGTAAGGAACCCCACAAACCCCTTTAAGGAACCCTAGAGATCCCTTTTAAGGAACCCCACAAACCCCTTTAAGGAACCCTAGAGATCCGGTTTAAGGAATCACAAACCCAAGGAGCCCTGAACCACCCGACCTGAGACCCCGAGAGCTACGAAGGGGTAGGGTTTAGGGTTTAGGGTTTAGGGTTTAGGGTTTAGGGTTTAAGGTTTAGGGTTGAGGGTTTAGGGTTTGGGGTTTAGGGTTTAGGTTTAGGGGTTGGGGTTTAGGGTTTAGGGTTTAGGGCCTTCGCCCATGGCGAGCATGCATCCGACGCCAATCGTCAGGGCCACGGCCCCAATCAGGGCAGCCTGCCCAAGCAAGGATGACGGCTTAGGGTTGAGGGTTTAGGGTTTAGGGTTTAGGGTCTAGGGTCTAGGGTTTAGGGTTGAGGGTTTTGGGTCTAGGGTTTAGGGTCTAGGGTTTAGGGTTTAGGGTTTTTGCCAGGGTGTGGGTTTGGTAAGTATTTTAAGAAGACACTATAGAGGCTTTATGCAGCTATTGTAGGAATTCTATGAAGGCATTTTTGGTATCCTATACGTTTTTGCTGATGGTTTCATAGGTATTTATTAGGATACTAAAGGCCTGGGCTTTGCCGCACTAGGGGTTTATGATCTAGGGTGGCGTTGAAGTTGAGGGTTTCGTGTTCAGGATTCAAAGACGCCTCAGGGCTTAGGTTCAGGATTGGGGTTTATAGAGTTTAGGGTTTAGGGTTTAGGGTTTAGGGTTTAGAGTTTCGGGTTTAGTTTCGGGTTTAGGTTCTAGTAAGGTTTGGGTTTAGGGTTTAAGGCTTCGGGCTTAGAGTTCGCATGGTACCCGAAATCCCTAATCAAACCCTACACCCTAAACAGCAAACCCCAAACCCTAAACCCCTACACCCTAAACCTCTAAACCCTAAACCCCGAAACCCTAGACCGCTGAACCCTAAGCCGTTACCAGCAAATGGTTTCGGGCCTGCTCCCTATACTCTAAATAAACACCCTCAACACCCAGAAAGCCCAATACCCCTTAATTAAGGACCTAATTAAGGAATCTATATACCCTAAACCACAATATTAAGCCCCTTAACGTTTAAGGTATATTGCTTACCCTAAACCCTAAACCCTAAACCCTAAACCCTAAACCCTAAACCCTGGTGTTGGGCTCCCTGGGCATGACCCTGGTAGGGACCGCGCGGCATGACCCTGGACCTCAGCGGGCTGACAGTTGGCACTTGGATTTTTTTGCATGCCTGGCTAGGAATTCCTTGGGTTAGGCTCCAGTTTAGGGTTTAGGGCTTAGGGTTCGGGGCTTGGGGTGTAGGATTTAGGTTGAGGGTTTAGGGCTTCAGTCTGGGGGAAACGTTTGGGCTAGTTTGAGCACCTAACCAAATTAGCATACGTCACCTCCAACCCTAAACCCTAAACCCTGAAACCCTCAACCCTGAAACCCTCAACCCTTCAACCACAAATCTCCTATCCGAAATCCTAAGCTCCTGAACGCGACATCTTCAACATGTCATCCATTAACTACAGGAAACTACAGGCGGGGATTTTAAGGTTTTAGGGCTTCTATAAGGCTTCTACAAGGTATATAAACCTTCTATAAGGCTCCTATAACGGTAACTACCCAACTGAAAATGTCCTAGAACTAAACAACTCCAAAACCCCCGCAGATGGGTAAGATGCCTTAAATTACAGAGGGATCCTAAAGGTGACTTGAGGTAATTTTCTGACACTTTGTGACGGGTTTGGGGAGAAACCCTAAACCCTAAACCCTAAAACCCAGGGGATTTAGTAAGTAGTTATTGTACAGAGTTATAAGTATCATAACCCAAATCAAGATCCCTCTTAGAGTACTTATACGTCTACTTATTACCCACTTACTAAGTCCCCCGACCCTCCAAGAAGCAACCCTAAACCCTAAACCCTAAACCCGAGACGGTGGCCTTCATTGGATCCTGCTTGGCTGCCGCCTTCTTGTCGGCCGTCGGCGCCGCGGCTTTTGGCTTCACCGGCGTGGGCTGAGGGGGGGGAGGCATCTTCACCTGGAGAACAGCAATTAGGATTTAGGGTTTAGGGTTTAGGGTTTAGGGTTTAGGGTTTAGGGTTTAGGGTTTAGGGGTTTAGGGGTTTAGGGTTTAGGGTTTAGGGTTCAGGGAACAGCAAGGGGTTTGTCCTTCGGGGCAGTTGGGATGTAGTACATATCCTAAACCCCTAACCCACTAAACCCCTAAACCCTAAAAGCCCTAAACCCTAAACCCTTAAACCTTAAGAGCCCTAAAACCTACACGCTAACCCCACAAGACCAATCCGATCTCGGGGCTGCAGGACCTCAGTGTTCAGAGCTTCGTCGGGGTTGAATCTCCATCATGGGGTCGAGTCGAGGGTCCAGGGTTTGTAGGACTTTGGTTTAAGTCTGAGTGAAAGCCGTTCTGCACATGCACATTTCAGGCTCCTTTTCCACGTCTTGTTTTCTGAATCTAAAGCGGTGCGAGCTTTCATTGCTGCTTAGCAAGAACCTGGGCCCCTAAACCCTGAACCCTGAACCCTAAACCCTAATCCCTAAACCCGAAATCCTAAACCCTAAACCCCATACCTTTGGCGCCTCTTTTGCTCCTCCCAGTTGTTGGAAGGCTTGCTCGAAAGCTTCCCCGAAACCCTAGAACCCGCCCTAAACCCTTAGCCCCCGAAACATCCTAAACCCCCTGATAGCCCTAACAATGTAGGGGCCTTAAGAACTAGAATAGGGTTTGGGTCCATTGTACTATAATTCTACTACGGAACCCCCAAAAATAGTATTGGTGATCGTTTAGGCCCCTATAGTAAACCCATAAGTCGCCCCAGCCCTGATTCTGAATCTCGGATGCACCTCTGCAAGAGAGGCATGCGCCCTCATAGTAAGTAACCCTGAAAATGAGCCCCCTTATACTGTTGATGGTATAAACCCTGCATTACCTTAAGGACTCTAAACTACGGAATTGTGGCACATTCCTTATTATGGGTAATGCGGGGTTTATATCATCTACCGTAGTACCCCTTGTAGTTGCCTGCAGGCGCACGCACCCCTACAAACCTCAAACCCTACTCTATTACCTTATAATAAAAAGCCGCCTTTATAGTAAACCCTGATAGCCTTATGGTTGCCTGCAGTCACATCCCTACATAAAGGCTCATGGGGCTTACTAGTGGGAGTTATAAGTAAGGTTGTAATTCGGATAACTCTACTTCGGGCACTCCCAGTTGTAGCCCGACTTAATTACCAAGCTCTACCCTAAACCCTAATCTGTAAGCCCTAAGCCCTAAACCCTAAACCCTAAACCTACTTACTAAGCCCTTGAGCCCTTGATTACTGAGCCGCGGGCCAGCTGCCCGTCTCTGCTGCAGACGATGCTTCGGGACACGATGTCTCCCTCCTCGCCTGTTTAGGGTTCAGGGTTGAGGGTTCAGGGTTCGGGGTTTAGGGTTTAGGGTTTAGGAATCGGGGTTCAGGGTTCAGGGTTTACGGTTCAGGGTTTAGGGTTCAGGGTTTAAGTTTATGGTTCAGGGTTCAGGGTTCGGGATTTGGGGTTCAGGGTTTATGGTTCAGAGTTTAGGGTTCAGGGTTCAGGGTTTAGGGTTTACGGTTTAGGGTTTAGGGTTCAAGTTAGGGTTCGGGGTTGAGGGTTTTGGGGGTAGGGCTTGTAGGGTTTGTAGGGTTCAGGGCGTTGCGCTAATAGGGCTTGGTGTTTGGGAATATGTCCCTCATCAACACATAATTCCCACACCCTAGGCTCTAGACTAATGCTGACAATGATACCATGGGATCTGAATTCTTAATGACAGCATGCCCTCGTGATCCCAATCTGAGTACACCATAACAAGCACTTCAAGCCTGTCTGATCAAGTCGTACTGCCCCTATAGTAATCGAAATCCGGCAACCCTAAACCTCAAACCCTACCCTAAGCCCCATAAACGCCAAATCCGGTTAATCCTAAACCCTAAACCCCCAAACTCGAAACCCTAAACCCCTAACCCTAATGCCCTAACCCTAAAGCCCTATATAAAGCCCTAACCTCTAAAACCCTGAACCAAAAAAAACCTAAACCCTAAAACTCTAAACCCCTTTTAGGAGCCCCATAGATCCTAGGCCCTAAACCCTAAACCCTAAACCTTAACCCTTTAAAGGACCCCAGAAGCCCCTCGGCGCCTGCATCCAGAGCCCCGAGCAGGTTCTTCATGAACGCGCCGGCCTTTTCCTTGCCGTGGATGTGGCGCAGCAGGTTGCCTTTCTTTTAGGGTTTAGGGTTTAGGGGTCTAGGCGTTTAGGGCCCTAAACCCTAAACCCTATAAACGTTATCAACCCTGTAAACCCTTAACCCTTTAGGGGTTTAGGGGTTTAGGGTTTAGGGATGTGGCTGCGGCAGGTTGCCTTCTTAGGCCTCTCATGAGTTCAGGAAGCTTTAGGGCCCTTAGGTTTAGTGTTTTAGGGCTTTGGGGTTTAGGGTTTTACGGTTTAGGGTTGAGGGGCCTAGATGGTCTTAGGAAGACAGTTTAGGGGTTAGGTAGGGGTTAGGGTTTAGGGTTGAGACTTGAGGTTTGGCCTAGGTTCCAGGCAGTCAAAAAGCTATAGCGGGTTCATAGGAGGGGGATTAGGGTTTAGGGTTTAGGGTTTAGGGTTTAGGGTTTTGGTTGCCTGGGGGTTGCCGTGCGTCAAGATATGGGGTTGTTTCGCAATTGAGGCTTACCTAATACCTACACCTGAAACCCCAAATGCTAAACCCTAAAGCGACCACGAAATCACCCTACAGTACTCTGGAATCAAAGGAGGGCATTAAACTCTTAGTTTGGACTGCTGCCATGCCATGACAGTCTATTATGAAGGGTACTATCGATGCAGGCTGTTTCTGAGTGGCGGCGGTATCCATCTCTTAGTCAGGATCTGGAAGAAGCAATGTTGACATTAAGCAATGTTGACATTCGACCTTTCTCAAACTTGAGTGGCTACTGATTTCGATTGCGATGGAATACTATGTGGTGACCGCGGTGCTTCGTCTGCTGTGATCTTGATTGTTCTGGTCATTGCTGCCAGTGCTTAGAGATGCTGGCACTAGCTCGTGAGATTGGCAACATGCCGAGACAGACCAGGATCATGAGTGCCAGAACTTTATAGATTACCGGTGCGACCTCTACCGCTGTTGATTGCACGGCTGTCAGCAACATAAGACACCTCGTTCCTCAGCCCTGAAGACATCGGCAGCACAGATGCAGCCAAGCCGCACATGTTCTGCGCATACCTTTCACTCGAGGCTTGCGCTGAGAACGCACGGTATGAGGCTGCGGTATTCTTCCGTTAATGCTGGCGTACGCTATTCCTATGCTGGCGCACGCTATTCCCACCGCTGGTCTCACCTGTTCGATTTCTGACCGTACGTAGGGCCACATCACGACCCCAGGCCCAGAGGGTTCGTAGTTCAACCACACTAAGCCCTAAACCCTAAACCCTAAACCCCTAAACCCTAAACCCCTAAACCCTAAACCCTAAACCCTAAACCCTAAACCCTAAACCCTAAACCGAACAAGCCAGCCTCCCCAAGCTCTGGTGAATCCCTGACCCTCGCCCGGATAGCGAATCTGAACATGAAGCCTCCGGAGCCAAAACCCTAAACTCTAAGCCCAAAACCCCGAACCTCCCGGACACCCTAAAAGCCGCTAACCCCCTAAACCCCAAACCCCTAGAGATCCGGAAAAGTTCGCTCTCACGTCGTGGCAACCGAGGAGCATGGTGCTGGCCTGGTTGGACATGCCTCGGCAGCAGGCCACCGTTTGGGTCGTAGAGAGGGGTTTGGGCTTTAGGCGTTAAGGGTTTGCGGGTTACAGGGTTTGAAACTAGGTTCAGCGTTCAGGGCCACAACCCAGTAGACAAACAACAAAGCCCAAAACCCTCAGCGGCTAAATCCTGCATGCTAGACCCCTACTAAGCCTGAACCCTACCCCCTAAACCCTAGATTCTAAACCCTAAACCGTGAGAGAAGCTTAGGGTTTTGGGTTTAGGGCTTAAGGCTTAGGGTTTATGGTTTAGAGTTTAGGGTTCAGGGTTCAGGTTTAGGGATTAGGGTTTAGGGAAGGGTTTCGGATGATCTGGGTTGGGACGATCCCGAGGGCTGGAGGGGACGGGCCGCGGGGTTCAAGCCCAGGCGCGCGCCGGCATGTCAGAGTATCCGATGATGGTCACACCGTTGGGGGTGGTGTAGACCTCGCGCAGTCCGCAAAGCCGAAACCCTAAGCCCTAAACCTTAAACCCCGAAGCCCTGAACCCTAAATCCTAAACCCTCAACCCTAGAAGCCCGAATTAAACCCTAAACCCTATAAGCCCAAAGCCCTACACCCTAAACCCTAAACCCCCCGCAGAGACCCGCAATCCTCGAACCCACATAGACTCCTGCATCAAACTCCGAAGAGCCCGCCTGAAATTAGATCCTTCTTTAGGGTTTAGGGTTTAGGGTTTAGGGTTTAGGGTTTAGGGTTTAGGGCTTAGGGTTTAGGGTTTAGGGCTGAGGGTTTAGGGTTTAGGGTTTTAGGGTTTAGTATGGTCTAGGCTTTAGGGCTTTAGGGCTTTAGGGCTTTACGGCTTTAGGGCTTCAGGGTTTAGGGTTTAGGCTTTAGGCTTTAGGGTTTCGGGTTATGAATTTGGAAGCTCCATAGCCCTAGCACATCTGGGACCGTCAGCCGAAACCCTGAAAGCCAGCATTGCATCCCAAAACACCCTGCAGGCCTAGAAGCCCTCAACCCCAACGCCCCAACCTGCACCTTAAACCCTAAACCTTGAACCCTAGACCCTAACCGAAAGCAGATCCCTTAATCGGAGCTCCTACAAAGTAGTACCCCTAAACCCTAAACCCTAACTTTTCGTAGCATAGGTTCCTAAACCCTAAACCCAAACCCCTTAAACCCTAAACCCCCAAGCCTAAACCCCTAAACCCCCAAACCCTAAACCCTGAACCCTAAACCCTGAACCCCCGCACCTTCGGCCCTAAAGCCCCAAACCTAAACCCTAAACCTTAGGCCCCTGAACCCTAGGGGTTTAGGGGTTTAGGGTTTAGGGTTTAGGGTTTAGAACCCTAAACCCTGTAAAACCCAAACCCCTACACTCCGAAATTCTGAAATATGAACCCTAAACCACACGAAGCCTAAAAACCCGACACTCCGA